GGCAGGGATTTTATTAATTTTATATGTACAAGATGAATATATTAACACATGGGTAGTATGCCTAATCTGAAGACTAGAAATGAAGACAATTACTCCGATAGAATGTCGCTCTTTTCAAAATGGGATAAGGCTTGCAAAAATGCCCATGTTTTCTTTATTCTTTTCCGACTAGGACGGTGTCTGCCAGTCGCTACTGGGGTATCCGTCAAGCCTAAGGAGGCCTTCCTCTTCTTGCAAGAAAGAGTATTCGCCTCGATTGGGGCCTTGCGTTTAAATAAAGTGCATTCGTTCCTGTATCCGAACTGCAGCTGCGCTTCTCTGATTTCTCCAAGCTAAATGAAAAGATTCCGGTTGAATTAACAAGTAAAGGATAGCACTATGAAAATATGAAAGAAAACAATAGCTAGGATCCCGCCCCTGATATAATTGGACATTCCCAAGGTAGAGGCTTTTGAAAAATTGCTGAAGGGATATTTGGGGTCACTGGACTATAATTAGTTGAGCAGATTGGAACAATTTTGAAGCTAAATATCATAAATATATAGGGAAAAAAGTATGCACAAAGGCAAGAAACCCAAACAAGTAAGGCAACTAACCTCTTCCCGTGAAGGAAGGGAGGAGGAACGGTTGTAAGCGTCAATGATAAGGGATACCCCCGGGGGAATTGGCTGGGAATTGATACATCGGTGTGAAATGAAGAAAACAGGAAAGCCAGGGACAGTCTCAGCAAATGATCTTAGTTCGCAATCATTGGTTGCTAGAGCAAAGAGCATATTTCCCCGGGAAGGCTGTATTTTTTTGGCTGTTTCTAACCGTTTGATAATGCAACGAGAAGCCCCAAGGGTCGGGTTATAGTCATGTCTGCACTTTAAAATTTTGTATCCGAGAAGAATTTTTACTGTACCAGTACAAAGATCACCCAGTTGCCTGCATTCCTCCACGACACACGAGGAAGTCACAAGTTTTACATCAGAGCCGACAAGGCAATTGAAGGACGAGAATATATTAAGCTTATTTAAAAGAGCCTGTCTAACAAAAGTATAGTCCAAAAATATTTCTAGAGGATCGAGTTTCAGACCGAATACTCTGTGGTAGTGATGCAGGAGGTCACGAAGCCGCTTGACACGCCTGGGAGGCATGAACAAGTTAAAAAGAGCGACTATAGTTAGATAGTTCAAGCAATTAAGCTTCTGATTGGATAAACCAATATTCATTTCCTTGCAACAAAAAGACGAACAAGAATGTTTACATTTATGCTATAGAATATAAAATATAATATAGTGATATTCAAATTATATTGA